TGGGGGGGGAGCTGGGAGGGATGAGAATCTCCCCCCAGGCCAGGGCAGGAGCTGCTACTCCAGTGCTTCCTCTGGAGCAGTGTTTCTTGACCACCAGTCCGTGGACCAGCGTCGGTCCCTGAGATCTCCCTGACACAGTTTAGGAAGGCAACAAGCCGGTCCCTGATATTCAAAAGGTTAAGAAACGCTGCTCTAGAGTCTGCTGCTTTCCCCCATGGGCAAGATCCACAGACCCCCATGTGCCATCCCCTCTGCACCATCTAACAATAACAACACGTTATCAATGCCTGGCGCTCGCCTGGTGCCGGAGCCTGCACGCGCTGCCTGTTTGCATCACAACTTGTTGTGGTTCAAGCTGTCATTCGAACTGTCACTCATTAAAAAGACCCAGTATTGATGTTTGTGTGCCTTGCCTCTTTTATCTGTTCAATGCATCAAGCTCGGCTTATTGTGTAATAAATAAGGTGACGTCTGAAATTCTTTGGGCCCGATTCTGCTCTGGTTTCCAGCAGTGTAAATCTGGAGGAGCTCTGTTGCAGTCAGTGGAGTTACTCCGGATTTACTCTGGAGTCTCTGAGAGCAGAAGCCGGCCCTGTCTATCCCACTTAGCGTCTGTGCTTCTCGTGATGGATGATACAACAAATGTGTTACACAGAACTTGTTACGCACACACACCATCAACTATGGCAAGGGCTGTCCACTAAAGTCTGGAGGAGAAGTAATGGGCATAATCTGCAGCAAGGGAGATTTAGGTGAGATGTTCGGAAAAACTTTGTAACTCTAAGGAGAGTTCAGCTCTGGATCAGGCGTCCAAGGGAGGTTGTGGAATCCCCGTCCCTGGAGGTTTTTAAGAAGAAGTTAGACAAACGTGTCAAAGATGATCCAGGTTTACTTGTTCAGACCCCTGTGTTGAGGCAGGACCTGGGTGACTTTTCCAGGTTCCTTCCAGTCTGACAGTTCCATGATTCTCTGAGCGCCAATAAAAAATGAATGACTAAGGGCCTGAATCTGATCTCCTGTTACCCTGAGAACTGAACCCAGTGGGGCTGCAGGAGCGCCGAGATTTCCATTGTGACTTCAAACTGAGGTCTTGAATGAATGGTGACTTGCAGTCACTGAGGAAGCTTTCGGCAAGACGAGAACAGCCGGCTCTGGTTCCTTGGTCAACTTCCCATGTGGGTAATTACAGGAGCTGGTCTGGAGTCTTTAGAAGAAACATTTCTGTGTCAGAAAATCCCCATTTGTTGAAACGAAGATTTGTTTTCCATAGGAAAAGGGTCGGTTTTGATTAATTATTTTACTTGATAAAAAAGTTTCAGAATTTCAAAATGAAACTTTCTGGTTCTCCAGTCCAAAAGGCGTCTTGCTTAAAAATATACACTAATTATACTAGATCCTTTTTTTTTAAATATTTAATGGTCAAAAAATTTTATGTTCAAAATTGGCAGGAAACATTACAAAATTCTTAAAACAAAATGCTGCTTTTCACACAAACCGAAAATGATTTTTGATTGAAGAAAATTTTTGAACTTTTGACTTTTTGTACCAGTTCGACACAGGAAAATGTTTCAGTATTTTGAAAATTTGTGTGGGATGGAAAATCCATTTTCTGCCCAGCCCTGGTAATTACATGAGTGTAAAATTGCTCCTGTAGTTACACTTGGCTACATTGCTCCTTTTCACTTCCTGCTCTAAGGCACTGCGCAGCGCTGCTGTGGGGCTGTCAGACAGCTGCCCCGCTCCTCCCCCACCGTGTCTAAAGACATTTCTAGATACACTGTAATGGCCCAATCCTGCCGGGTGCTGAGGCACTTCCTGTGACATGCTGGGCAACTGCAACGCTGATTAAAGTCAAGGGGAGTGGTGGGTGCTCAGCGGCTGTTAGGATCAGCTCCTACCTTTTGTTCCTTAAAGCACTGCACATTGTAACGCAGTTTTGCTGGGATCCTTAGAGCAGTAAATAGGGCTTTGTGCCGTTGTCAATCAGTGTTACTGGGAGGTTTATAACAGCCCCTTACAGGAACTGGGCTGGGCAGACATTGTGCTCGAATAGTGTTATGATTTCTATGGTCTTATCTGTACTGCCACTGACAACCTTCAGCCCCTTAACGGCGAGCCTGGGGACCTGATTCTCATTAGCATTAAGTCCCTTTCCACCATGGTAACGCACCGGGGCCTGGAAGTGACTGTGAGTTTAATTTATGGTCCTCTAAAGTCCTCTTTACATTGGTGCAAAGGGGAAGCTGTGTCATTGTCAGTAATGCCCTTGGGCTAGAAATCAGACAGAATCTTGGCCAGTCCAGTCATCCTTCGTCAGCCAAACTCCTGCTTCCACTTAACATTGCCTCAGTCAGGGACTGCAGGATTTAGCCCAGGTCGCTTCCCAAGCATGGGAGGGAGGAAGGCAGGGGAGGGAAAGGGAAGGAAGGAAGGAAGGACGATGGTCCCCAGCATTAGAGAACTGCCTGGAAGGGGTTTGTGACAGATCCATCCAGGGGAGCTGCCACCAGCCAGAGCAGCCTCACAAGTGGGGTGCGGGTTAAGGAGACGTGGCCAAGGCACCCGGAGATTCTGTTCTTTGTTGAGCCAATTGCTCTAATCACTAGCCCACGTTGCCCAATATTGTCAGCTGTTTCAGAAGGGACATTGACAGATGCACTTTACTTCTCTCTCCCTGCTTTGTGCAGCCAGACGCAGCTTTCTAACCAGCCCCGTTCCGTTAATTTTAACCCGTTTATTCCTAGACTCAAGGGGTGGTGTTTAACTTCAGTAGGCGTGAGGCACCCAACCCTCCGAGCCATGTTTGAAAATCCCACTAGGCATCTCTCTGCATTTATAGGCACCTAAATACCTTTGAAAATCTGTCCCGAAGTCACTTTTGAAAATGGGACGTACACTATTTTGAAAATCGTGTCTTATGTTGTCTTTTTCCTCACACATGTCAGAGCTTTCAGTTTGATGATCTAAAGTGAAGTTAACAGTCCTCCAAGACAGTACAACAAACAATCATTACATGTCTGCGTTGTGCCACCAAGAACTGTGCTACAATAAACCAAACTTGTAAGGCTGGGGAGCAACTTAGCTTGGGATTGTCAAAGGACCTAAGTGGTTTAGGAGCAGTTTCCTTTTACAGTCAATGGGAGTTGTGCTCCGAACTCATGTGGGTTTGTTTATATAGATAATCTATACTCTGGATTTTTAATTATTCTGAATCATTATATACACCCCTGTGCCACTGGAATGCAGAGAAAATCTACAAGAAATGCTGTAGCCGCTGCAGAGTCTTTAACCCACCCCTCTAGTATCTATCACCACAGCACATCCTCCTGGGAGGCGTTCCTCTCTGGAAATGACCAAGCCACTGAACCCAGTCACTGCAGCAGTGCACTAGGCATCAGCCTTTGGGCCAGTGTGTCAGGATTTTGTCTTAATATTTTAATGAACATGATCTTTGCCGAGTATCTGGTTTTATCTTCTTTAGGTAAAACTTCTGCATTAAGTTCTGGAATTGGAAAAACAGCCTCTTCATTAGGACACTAGTATTGAATACTGTATCTATGATATGTTTTGAAACTTTTGCTGGATATTAATTGGATTTCCATTCACTTGTATGAAGTTAGAGCAGCTTTTTAAGTATTTGGGATGCAGAGGATAAATATTATCAGATTAAGTAATTTCTATTGCTGAGCTATCCAGTCCATCTGTGAGAGGTGGAGACCTGACGGACACTGACTATAACGATATTTTATTTCTCCAGTGCTAGGAGTGCGGTTATTTCTGTACCAGACTCAGCGGATCCAGTTTGTTGAAGTTAGTGACACCGCAAAGATCCACTGTTCTTCCACGGAAAACTTGGAAGGCAAAAGGAGAATGTTTTGGTATTTGAGACAAGAAGGTGAGAAACCCACCTGCATTAAGCGCTGTTTGCATGATCAAAATGTAGGTAAATTTGCTTGCAAACACAAGACACACAGCTCGACGCTGGAAATCAGCAACGTGCAAAAGAATGACTCTGGCATTTACTACTGTGCATATAAATACAGCAACTACCTGATTTTTGGAAATGGAACTACACTGATTGTTGGAGGTAAGGAACCACAGCTTCTTTAAGGAGATTCACAACTGATTGACAAAGCATATTTCATGTTCCCATTAAAATGTGACAAGATACCATAGCTATTGATGAATGGTTCAAAGGAAAGCATACTTTAAGCCAAATAAATCAGATAAACATTAAATGCTATGGGTACACAAGGAATATAGCATTTATTGTTAGAAAATATATGTATAAAACCTGAAAGTGCTGAAAATAAACTATTGAAGTTTCTCTGTGACTCTACAGGGCACCCAGGTAGGGAATATGTCTAACCTAAGAGTTATGTTCACATGAAACAATATTTTGAGTTAATGAAAAGTTTATAGCAACAGAGGGTCCTGTGGCACCTTTAAGACTAACAGAAGTATTGGGAGCATAAGCTTTCGTGGGTAAAAACCTCACTTCTTCAGATGCAAGAAGGCAGCTTGCATCTGAAGAAGTGAGGTTCTTACCCACGAAAGCTTATGCTCCCAATTCTTCTGTTAGTCTTAAAGGTGCCACAGGACCCTCTCTTGCTTTTTACAGATTCAGACTAACACGGCTACCCCTCTGATACCTGAAAAGTTTATACAATTTATAAAATTGTACGCAATTTTCCTTCTAAGTAGTGCAGCTACGTATTGCGCTATATCCTAGTTAGTCTTGGTATGATAATTTAATATTTCCTTCTTCAATACATTTGTTCCTTTGAATTAATGTCTTAGTGACAGATATGCAGTATTGTTGTTTCAGAGTAGCAGCCGTGTTAGTCTGTATCCGCAAAAAGAAGAACAGGAGTACTTGTGGCACCTTAGGGTACATCTACACTACAGCGGGGAGTCGATTTAAGATACGCAAATTCAGCTACGTATTGCAGCCGACTTACCCCGTTGTGAGGACGGCGGCAAAATCGACTTCTGCCGCTTTTTGTCGGCGGCGCTTACTACCACCTCCGCTGCTGGAGTTAGAGCGCCGATTCGGGGATCGATTGTCGCGTCCCGACGGGACGTGATAAATCGATCCCCGAGAGGTCGATTTCTACCCGCCGATTCAGGCGGGTAGTATAGACCAGACCTTAGAGACTAACAAATTTATTAGAGCATAAGCTTTCGTGGACTACAGCCCACTTCTCCAC